GCATCGAAACCACTTGGGAACTTGCTAGAAATGCAAATTTTAGGATCCCACCCAGAATTAATCAATCTGAAACTTTGGAGTGAAATGGCAGCAATCTGTGTTTTAACAAGCCTTCAAGGAAATTCTGATGCACACTAAAAGAGAACCACTTCCCTAGGAACTCAAGGGCTACTGCAAACTCCCACATTTTACCCACAACTCGGATTCCTGCTCCTCATGGGTGGTAACTGCCAATCAAGGGCTCTTACGTGATACTCGACCCAATCCCCTCCCTTTCTAGAAGTCTTCAAAAACAGGACTTGGACTGAGGCTTACGGGAAGTTCAGGTAAGGACGTAATCTTTGTCTGAGGCCTTTCTGCTAAGTCGCCTGCTAAGATTTCATAGGAACAAGCTCTCATTTTTCAAATTCATTCTTATGCTGGGTACAATAATCCATTTTAAGTTATTTCCCTCATTTTTCTCATCAATTTTTGTCAAAGGCCAGGGGACCCCTCCCCCTCCCCCTCCTATCTATCTTCCCTTTCTATTCTAGGTCTGGTATGGGCAAATATAGAAAAGAAAAAAATTCAGAGTATTTTTACTAGTGTTATCTATGGCAGCAAATTTGGGGGAAAAACTGTCAAGCTGGACTGGGTAAATAAAATTTTGACATATCTGTAAAATATTTTCCCATTATTTTTCTACAAGGTTATTTAAACCTTGTAGAAAAATAATGGGAAAATATTCCACTCTACAACACAACTTTAGGACTATATTACATATACTTTTAAACAATTATTGCTGAGAAAATATGGTTTTGTCAACAAATGCCAGGAATGCACAAATTCACAGCGCTTGGCCCACTCCATCTCATATCACATTTAGTGCTTACTTGCTCAGTCTCTGTCCTCCAGACACACTCACACCTGGCGGAGACCCACAAGCGAGGCGGGGGAGGGTGTCCGAGGAGATCCCTAGCTACACGGGAAAGGCCCAGACGTAGGGACGAGGCCTGCCACAGGGCGAGACCAGAAGTGACACTAACGTTAGGAGAGATACGGGTGTGGGGCATCTGGGGAGATGATAAAGTTTTGCTGATGTCTGCAAAAAGGGGAAAAAAAATGAGAGCGTGGAGAGACTGAAATGTAGTAAAATACAGGCAGCCTTGACATGGGGAGCTATGAAAATTAATGATAAAAACAAACTCATCTCTTCATAAAGAACCTTAACGTGGTGAGGAATTCCTTCCAAAGAAGAGATTCAAAACAAAGGGCCAATGTCCCCATACCACACAGATCTGTTACTTTACAGTTATGCTTATGAATAGTTTTGTCAAACATTTTCAAGTTTTGAGAGTGTGGCATACATGCATAATGTAATCAGTCTCCTATCTGGTTACAGATGAGAATGGCAAAGCATCAGGTGACACCAACATTGGGTTTCTGCAAGGCCACCCTTCGCTGTCTTCCTAATCCACATGGATAGGTCATTAAACTAAGGCAGCTGCATCTGGCCAAAATAGGACTCTGCTCTCCCCCCGCCCCCTCTAGTCTGAGCGAGGTTAGTGCATGGCTGGAGGCCCTTTGAATAAAACAGACCATACCTTGATTTACTGACCCAGATTCACGCCTACTCCCACTTCGGGATCTCTGAAATTGTCAATTTGATGGAATCTAGAGGGGAGACTCCCCTGCAAGTTGGACTCTTAGCGATCACATCTACAGTAGGTTAAACATTCCTGATGGGGAGGGGCAAAGTCAACTATAAATAAATCAGTGCTACTCAGGCCCCTGTCAGTTGCTTTCACTGAAGATGCAGAATGTAAAACCCACAGCTTTAAAACAGGGCTCTCATTGCCTGAGCGCCTAGAAATGTGGTAAACACTCAATTACCCTAAAAATAACTATTTAAGGAAGACTTAAAGAAAAATATATAGAATATATTTTCCAATTGCATATCCAGATTTATGCTTTTTATATGTATGTTCTTTCCCAAATTGATAGAGTCCAGCACTTTGACCATTTTGTCCTGAATTAAAACACATCTATCTCAAAAACTGCAAAATTTCATGTACTGTTTTCTCCTATTTTATATTCTTATGACAGACAGAGAATGAAAATTCCAACCATTTAGCCTTATTAAATGTTTCTCAGAGCTTTAGATGAAAGTGCAGCATAAGGTCTCACTATTTCCATACTTCCTGGCTGGGTCATGACCATCCCACCTGTATGAATTCTCCTGAAAAGGAACAGATGTGATATGCTTTGTCTCGAGCTTGGACCACATGCTTGGAATAGTGGAAATGTTTCAGCCTGGAGGAGGCTCAACGGCTCCCTTAAAACTCCACGAGCAATTCAAGATCATCTACAGGTAGAAGACCTGGGTTCTCACTTGTTTACACAACTTGCTAGGCACTGAGAGTCTCGTTATGTCCGCTTTATAGATGAGAAAGAATTTATCAATTTCCCCACCTTCCCAACAGGTGGATGTCACATTGGTGTGTGAGTGAGCCTCGGATGGCGCAAGTCCTAGGATCCCAATCTTCGGCCTTCCCTCCTTTACATTATCAAGGGCCTCCTGTCCAAATCAACCTGTCCTAGGTATTATGAGGAAAATGAAGATAGCTCAGAAATTCCCTTAAGAAGGTTAAAATCTTACAGGAAATTATACTTCTACACATGTTAAGTGACAGGAAAGAAACGCGGATAATATGCTCTAAGAGTTACAAGGGGGAAAGATTACTTCCTGCTCAGGGGATCTGGCAAAACTTCATAAAGGAAGGAGCATATGAGCAGACCACTGAAATCTAGATAAAATGTGGACAGTTAAAGGCACTGGTGAAGAAAGGCACCTTAGTAAGAAGACCAACAGTCACAAAGGCAACAGAGAAGGAAAGGCGTGGAGTATTCGCAAGAACGACAGACTTGGGTTGCCAGAAATCCAGCACCCTCTGCTACAAGGCAGACTGGGGCCAGACTGGGGAAGGCCCTGCACTCACACTGAGTGTGGACTCCAGTACTGTCCTCACCGAGGACCCCCATGCGCCCATGTTCTCCATCTGGATAAACAACACCATATAACTCAGTTTTCCTAAATTCCCTCATTTGCCAGTTTGAACAGTCAATTCTCCCAGATATCGCTCAAATTTATCCTCTCTTAAGTCTCACCTGGATTCCTGACATAGTTTCTGGCCTCCAGTCTTGTCCGTTCTCCACATTGATGTCAGATTGAGTCAAAACACAATCTTAACATATTACTCCCGTTTAAGTGTTTCAGTGATTTCCTATTATCCACAAAGAACACTCAACACCTTCCAAGAGATACAAAGTGTTTCGTGATCTGGGCCCTCTCCAGATTTCATGCTCTGCCTCTCCCTCGCAAACTTCCTTCACTCCTGCCACAAGGCCCTTGCCTATAACCTACATTTGCACGTACGCTACAGCAGGGTATGCCTACATATCACTTCATTTGAGCAGATTCGGCTTGGTGCTCACCATTGACAATTTCAAGTTTTGCTTTTTGGATTTTTTTATCCAAATATTTCTGATCTGCAGTTGGTCGAACACGCAGATGCAAGAACTCACAGAATTCAAACCCACAGATATGGATGGTCAACTGTATACTATATAGAATGAAATGGAAATAAGTCTATGATCTGTTATTAAAGTAAAAAAGGCAAGGAGCAGAACAATGTGCATAGCATGATCCCATTTGTGTTCTATAATCACATAATTATGCTTATATGTAAATAGAAACATTCTAGAAGGTTACCTTTGGCAATGGATTCAAAGGAGGAGACTGGAGAGAAGGAGACTTTATTTCAAGCAAAACAGAAAGGTATTTGTTGTTGTTTTATCTGATTGTACCCTAAGCATATATTTACTTCTCAGGCACCCCCACTTCAGGAAGTGTCCTGACCCCTCCCAACCAGGAGGTGCCCCCACCCCTGTGCTCTCCGGGGCTCTGGCACGAGCTCTTACAGCACTTCTCACACAGTCATTGCCTTACTTGCTGGCTTCCCAAGTTAGTGGAGAGTTCCTCTGGGGGCAAGGACTGGTTTCTTTTTCTGCATTCCCAGCACCTGCCTGACACACAGTAACCGCTTAATAGAGTTTGGAGGAAGAGAGGGAAGGAGGAAGGGAAGGAGGAAGG